GCGTAGTTAGCTGTTCTCTCCGCCTTGCTTCCCCCTTATTGAACAGTCTCCGGCTTGTGTGCTTAGAGTATAAACAAAAAATATAGAGGTAAACATGACTTGTTTGCTAACTTTCTTCACCTGACCCTGGGTGAGGACCGTGTATGTAACTAAACACCCTGGGTGAGGACCGTGTATGTAACTAAACATCCTGGGTGAGGACCGTGTATGTAACTAAACACCCTGGGTGAGGACCGTGTATGTAACTAAACATCCTGGGTGAGGACCGTGTATGTAACTAAACACCCTGGGTGAGGACCGTGTATGTAACTAAACACCCTGGGTGAGGACCGTGTATGTAACTAAACACCCTGGGTGAGGACCGTGTATGTAACTAAACACCCTGGGTGAGGACCGTGTATGTAACTAAACACCCTGGGTGAGGACCGTGTATGTAACTAAACACCCTGGGTGAGGACCGTGTATGTAACTAAACACCCTGGGTGAGGACCGTGTATGTAACTAAACACTCTGGGTGAGGACCGTGTATGTAACTAAACACCCTGGGTGAGGACCGTGTATGTAACTAAACATCCTGGGTGAGGACCGTGTATGTAACTAAACACCCTGGGTGAGGACCGTGTATGTAACTAAACATCCTGGGTGAGGACCGTGTATGTAACTAAACACCCTGGGTGAGGACCGTGTATGTAATAAACATCCTGGGTCGTGTATGTAACTAAACACCCTGGGTGAGGACCGTGTATGTAACTAAACATCCTGGGTGAGGACCGTGTATGTAACTAAACACCCTGGGTGAGGACCGTGTATGTAACTAAACATCCTGGTGAGGACCGTGTATGTAACTAAACATCCTGGGTGAGGACCGTGTATGTAACTAAACACTCTGGGTGAGGACCGTGTATGTAACTAAACAAGTCTTATGATATCTAATGCGATAACTTGCTTGAGGCAATAATGTCTTACTGCAGTACATTCTACAGGTGCAGGCGAGGAGTCACAATAACGTGGCTGAAGTATGTTGACCAGACCACACACACTAGAAGGTGAAGGGACGACGACGTTTCGGTCCGTCCTGGACCATTCTCAAGTCGATTCAAATCGACATTCTCAAATCGACTTGAGAATGGTCCAGGACGGACCGAAACGTCGTCGTCCCCTTCACCTTCTAGTAGTGTGAGGTCTGGTCTACATTCTACAGAGTTAGACGTTATCAGAAGAGAAAATTAACTGTCGATATTTCAGAGGTATATATTGTTTGAGGCATGGTGGTCACGTTGGTCTCTGCTGGTATTGGGCACCTGTATAATGTAAAGGTAACTGATAACATGCCCGAACACACCTCTTGTGAACTTTGACCCTTGCCCCCCTCAAAGCAATCCCTTCCATGCGGAGATTTCCATCCGGGGATTGATTAGGCTGCCTTTGGATCTTCTCAGCATTGTACAGTTGGCACTGCTCGGCCCGACGGGCAGTGGGGGGGGGGGGCCTTGAGGGAAATTACAAAGGTGACTACCTTTCTTCCGGGTGCTTCATTGATGGGGAGATTGTGCTGTTTTTTTTCGATTATATGTATATAAAGTTCACAGTAAGTGTGCATATCTCTCTATGGGCTGATGCTGTACCCGGCTGTCCTGATTGTGCAGTTTGCCTGAGTTAAATAGCCCTTGCTTGTTAAGATATATGACGCTCGTTAAACTTGGGCGCCCACATTAACTTATGAGGTAATCGGGGTATCTTTAATACCATGGTGTGTCCTGGCCAGTGATTGATGTACATGTGGCAGTATTGAGGAGGCTGGAGATGCCCCCACGGCTTGTCCAGCACATTTCGCCTCATGCCCCTGATAGTTTAGCCTCAGGGACGGCTGTTAGAACCCCCCATGTAATACAAATCTGCTGAAGCCACCAAACACCAACCCTCACAGTCAGCTTGGCCCAGACAAGCCATCTTCGTTAGAGGTTTATTTTGTACATTAGAGGATAAAATGAGTACCGATATTTAGTATTTATATATATAATGTTCTTAGTTCTTATGGGAGCAGGTCGGCCGAGCGGACAGCACGCTGGACTTGTGATCCTGTGGTCCCGGGTTCTATCCCGGGCGCCGGCGAGAAACAATGGACAGAATTTCTTTCACCCTATGCCCCTGTTACCTAGCAGCAAAATAGGTACCTGGGTGTTAGACAGCTGTCACGGGCTGCTTCCTGGGGGTGGAGGCCTGGTCGAGGACCGGGCCGCGGGGACACTAAAAGCCCCGAAATCATCTCAAGATAACCTCAAGATGACCATGTATACAACAATATTGTATCTTACCAAGATACAATAAGATTGTTCTGTCCTTCGAGGACGTGAGTTAGGTGATGTACGTTTGATGAGTAGTGATGACCCCTATTCCCCACTCACCCTCGAAGGGTTGTCTCATCTCCTACTTCGGTAAGTGGTTTTCCCTAGACAGTGTGGGTGAGGTTCCCGAGTGATTCTTGAGCTCAGCCTTGAGGATGGTATCTATAGGACCGTTCGTTGGGTTGTTAGTTAAAGTAGGGCATGTTTGCGTGGACCTGAACTCTGGCATGTTTGCGAGGACCTGAACTCTGGCATGTTTGCGAGGACCTGAACTATGGCATATTTGCCAGGACATGAACTCTGGCATGTTTGCGAGGACCTGAACTCTGGCATGTTTGCGAGGACCTGAACTCTGGCATGTTTGCGAGGACCTGAACTCTAGCATGTTTGCGAGGACCTGAACTCTGGCATGTTTGCGAGGACCTGAACTATGGCATATTTGCCAGGACCTGAACTCTGGCATATTTGCCAGGACCTGAACTCTGTCATTGCGAGGACCTGAACTCTAGCATGTTTGCGAGGACCTGAACTCTAGCATGTTTGCGTGGACCTGAACTCTAGCATGTTTGCGAGGACCTGAACTCTGGTGGCATGTTTGCGTGGACCTGAACTCTGTCATGTTTGCGAGGACCTGAACTATGGCATATTTGCCAGGACCTGAACTCTGGCATATTTGCGAGGACCTGAACTCTGGTATATTTGCGAGGAGCTGAACTCTAGCATGTTTGCGAGGGCCTGAACTCTGACATATTTGCAAGGACCTGAACTCTGGCGTGTTTGCGAGGACCTAAACTCTGGCATATTTGCGAGGACCTGAACTCTAGCATGTTTGCGAGGACCTGAACTATGGCATATTTGCCAGGACCTGAACTCTGGCATATTTGCGAGGACCTGAACTCTGGTATATTTGCGAGGAGCTGAACTCTAGCATGTTTGCGAGGGCCTGAACTCTGGCATATTTGCGAGGACCTGAACTCTGGCGTGTTTGCGAGGACCTGAACTCTAGCATGTTTGCGAGGGCCTGAACTCTAGCATGTTTGCGAGGACCTAAACTCTGGCATATTTGCGAGGGCTCCCGTGCCAGGGAAGGGCACATAGAGGTCAACCTGATGGTGTCCCTGCACGCAACGGGTACACACCAACTAATTAATCTGATGGAACCAGTGAGAAATATTCGCGTGCGAGATTTCCAACAGCGCTTTCGACGGCAGTGTGGCGAGTTCAACAGGGGCGAACTCTGACCTAATTTGGTTTGACTAATGTTATTCCTTAAATTTCTTCATGCTTGTCCTTCATTCACTTCCTTCCCTTCATTCAGCTCGTTCTTTCATTTCCTTCATTTCTGGGGATAATTACCCAGTCGAGGTCGTTTGATTTTGCCTTAAATTGAGACGTGTTCGGTAATAGGTATTGTTAGGGGCTTAGGGGTCCGGTGTGACCTTGTTGCAAAGTGCAACAGATAACCTCAGGATGCAATTTGGGGAGCCGGTATGCCGTTGATAATGTCGTTGTCACCGTTCTTTCTCCTTCTGTTGTTACCGTTTATCTCCTGTTGCTGTTGCCCCCTTTTGCTGCTGCTGCTGCTGCATGCCCTCCTTCACTTATTCATTTGAATGAATGAATGCTCAACACGCGCGCGCACCAATACACACACACACACATTCATTCATATTAAACGTACACTTGTGCACACTAAATTGCACATACGTACTGGCACGTACACCTGTCCCGACCTTCGTATACGCACACACATACGCACGCTCCAGAGTACGCAGTTCCAGCCTCTGGGATCTGTAAACAAAAAATTGAATTGAGAAAAAATCTACTGTTTAGGACGAGAAGCGTGGTGAGTTGAACAGCTGAGGAAATTGAACAGGTGCACAGAGTGAACAGAAGAGACTCTGGGATTATAAAGATAAAGGGAGTTGAGATTGACGACCTGGAGCCAATGACTAGAGTTGAAGGGAGATGAGGAAAGAGTTATTGTGTGATTGCTTTTCCTTATTGGTCGCCCTTGGCGAAATATCACGTCAATTAGCTTCGCCGATTGGCGCCGATCCGCGTCAGTGCTCACGATTGACAACTCTTGAGTTTATGACAAAACGATTAACGGACGGGTTTCGAACAGGAAGCTACAGTGATAAAGATCTACCTCACTACACCTGTATATAGAGTGATGCGCTAATCCGTGCACTTGCACGGAGGTTGAGTTCCTATATCTCGTGTTTTATTAACGGTAACAACTGAAGATCATTAAGTCCTGTCATTGCAAAAGGAAAATATCCTACGGACAGACAAATAGTTGTGTCTTAAAGTCGTTGCCTATATCTACAGAGACATCAATAAGAAACACTTGATATCAGAGTCTTAGAACCAAAAACTAGTCAAGCACACAGCAGGAAAGGCATTTCCACCGGTTCTGGAGTAAGAACTCTGGGCTGGATCAGGGGGGGTCACTTCTCCCGAGACTGGTTGGCATCTAAGACGCTCTCATTACTGCTGTAATTACCACTGCAGCCAGTGATGGGAACACACAGGATGGGAGTCGGGTCGTCTGGAATGCAGCAATGGTCAAGTTGAGTGATGTATCTAAGTTATTAAGATCTACCTCAGTACCCATATGGAGTGGTGAGTAAAGCGTGGTGAGTAACTCACCACGTTTTTTGGGGAATTCATCATTATCATCATCTTTATCATCTTCAACATCATCTTTATCATCTTCAACATCATCATCTTTATGCAGTGATTGGGGTTAAAAATGAGATACCAAACCCTTAATCTGAAAATACAGTGCCGACGTTTCGGTCCCTCCTGATAACGTCTTGATAACGTCACGACCGAAACTTCGCCATTTCCTTCATTTTCAGTGATGTGGGTTGGTGGGGTGTCTTGATATCAACGTCTTTATTTAACCCCAGCGTCGAGGCCACTACTTAGTGGAGCTACACTGGACATGGAACCCCACAGAGGTTCCATCATGGGGCAAAGTGACGAACTTCTTTCGGTCTCTTAATATCTAACCGGAGCTTGTTTTAGTTGGTTATCGACCGAGCTAGACCGATAACTAATTTAAGCACCTCACGTGAGAGCGAACAACCTTATGCTTTCATCGCAGGGATAGGAGCCACGCACTTACTGATTCGCTGCTCTCTCACACACACACTCGGTTCACACAGACACAAGGTATTTCCGCCTGCGACAAGAAGCGAATGGTGTCGCGGAAGATAGCAGGTCGTTCGAGGGCGATAACACTTCACGAGAGCACCTGACCATCGTGCTCCGCTGGTCAGATGACGTAGTTCACGACTAACGTGTTCTGCAGGGAACTTTCTGACGACACCGGTGGTGAGAAGGAAAAAAAAATAGCATCACTTCGATGTCGCAATGAGTCCGAGTTCGATGGATTCATGAGCTCGACGAGTTCGATGTCAGACCTCAACTCGAGGTGGTTCTCTTCGGTAAGTTAAAGGAATATTACAGCGCATTCCGCTTCTCTCGCGTCCTCTGGTATGTCTCGCGGGACTTGTTCACCTTAAATGCCTTTCACCAAGTTCTTAAATCACTTCGATGACAAGAGGCATATAGCTCCGTCTCCTCTTTTCAACTTTAGCGGTGGGGCTAAGCTTTGTCCTAACTGTTTCCTGCCGGCCGTCTATTTAACCACTGCCTGTGGTTAACTCGGCCACAGGGACTCTTGCTTACAAGATCATGATACGGTCTAAAGAACATCCTCTCCTGTGGCTCCAAGGTCAGGCACTCCAAATTTCCAGCAATAAATATCGTGGAGTGCCAAACGAACTTCTGTCACTTCTCATCTTCTTGCTACAGGCCATCAGAAAAGACCCTACTTACTCATGGTGAGTTGGCATGGACCTTCCGAGTCATAGAAGAGCCTATGGTGAACTATGATTAGCAGTGGTTCCACGGCCTGGTTCCAATCAGGAAAATAGTTCCAAATTGGTCACCAGGCTCCGTAGTGCCATGTGCCTTTGTGAAGGGTTTAGGGACGGAACCGTGGGGACTCTGATCTCATTCTGTCCTCAGAATACGCGAGTATTCATGAATAAAGTGGAAATATTTGCCAATCAGAGATTGACAGCTAAAGGAAAGGTCAGAGAGACTCGAGGCACTCCATGGGGTGGAATGGGTTTGCTGAGCGGAAACAGTTGTGTGTGTGGGGGGGGGGGGCTGAACGCTTCCGATTGTGGGGGAGGGATGAATATTATGAACTCTTTCCGGTTGTGGAGCGATCATTCCTCTTTACAGATGTCCCATCAATCTGGAACATAACTTGGATCATTCCCAGGACTGTCCGTACTGTATTTTAGTGAACGCGCGAGTGAACTGGTGTAGGTGTGCTAGGAGATGAGAATCACAAGAGTACCGAGTCCTGGAAGAACAGCAGCAGGAGTCGTATTACTCCCCAGTGAACCACCTACAACCCACAACAACTAACTTGACCTCTTAACTACACCCACTACCACCTCCCTACCAGCTCGGTCATCACGTAAGTGCAGTGTGGGGGGGGGGATGGGATTGTGGTGATGGGCGTGGTCAGATATAGCCCTGCCTCCAGCAACGAATGGAAGGTATATAAACACAGTGATTGGTTAGGTCAAAATTAAAAGGTGGAAACAGAGAAAGGGAAGAGAGAGGTAGGTAAGGGATAACGAAGGGGGAGGAGTGGTGTAAGGATAGGGAGATGGGATAACAGGCGAATAAATGTCAGTGTGGGGTTTGCTTGCCCTATTTGAGTATCCTACGGAACTTCAGAGTACGCTACGGAACCTCAAAGTACCCTACGGAACCCCATGACTTCCCATGATGATGGAGCCTCACCGCCTCTACTGGGATCCCTCTACAGTAGATCCCTCTACTGGGATCATGGCTCCTGTTGTATCTACTCAGGCAACAACAACAACAGGCACCCCTAATCCCTATCTATGCCTGCAGGGATTAGCGTGCCAGGGGTACCTGCCCTGCCCAGGTGTTCTCTCATTATGTGATTGGGGAGAAAGATAGATTCATTGATAAATTAATGGGCGGTTCATATCTCTGTAATTTTTGTTGATAAGGCTAAATCAGTATGTGTGTGTATGTGTGTGTGTGTGTGTGTGTGTGTGTGTGTGTGTGTGTGTGTGTGTGTGTGTGTGTGTGTGTGTGTGTGTGTGTGTGTGTGTGTGTGTGTGTGTGTGTGTGTGTGTGTGTCCAGGCACCACCGGGCACGCCACGTAGTTAATTACAAATACATGAACAATTTACCTGTTGTAAGCTTGTGTAAATATGTATATTTTTGGATGTATACTTATATACTTTCCTTCTCTTGCAGGTACGTGAGACCTCTTCTGAGTTTCCTGAGCCAGATGGTGCGTACAAAGGTACAAGTACCACATCTGGTCATTCTCTTATGCGTATATATATATCTATCTGGGGAACATCCAGGGCAAGGGTTCGAACCCTAATGAAGGCCCTTGTGGATTTGTTCATTTGATATCATGTTATTGTGATTTCTGTGTGTTAATATTATTATTATTAATTACATTTGCTGCTATCTTGTTTCTTTTTTACAAATAATTAAGACCATATCTAACGTTGACTTGGAATTTAATTACGTATGCAAATAAAATGAAGCTTCCCGTTGAAGCTTCAGCTAAAGCTTCAAGAACCACAGTGGCCGTTTATTTTTTCTTCGGTTGTGTTCGTCCGTCCACGAGGTTACGGTCGTTCATATGCACGACTTTGAACGATGTATTTACGCTCAAGATGGTTTTTGTCGAGCCTGGAGGTCTCAGGGCGGGTTCGGGGGAGTAGAGGAATTCTCGAAATCCTCTCCAGGTATGTTCCAGGTAGGCTGGCATGTCACTCATTACAAGTAAGTGGGAGTATCTTGGTAAGACAATGATCTTTATATTGGGCATTTTGGAATCTGTGTTTTGAATTGGCGTGTTGAATTTTGAGTACATAATGTTCCAGTTGCTGAAGGTGTCTTCGGGGGCCGGGGGGGGGGGAGCCCCTCTGCTTGTACGAGCATAGGGCCAAGAACTGCCCCCCTCTACTTGTACGAGCATAGAGCTGAGAACTGCCCCCCTCTGCTTGTACGATTATAGGGCTGAGAACTGCCCCCCTCTGCTTGGACGAGCATAGAGCTGAGAACTGCCCTCCTCTGCTTGTACGAGCATAGAGCTGAGAACTGCCCCCCTCTGCTTGTACGATTATAGGGCTGAGAACTGCCCCCCTCTGCTTGTACAAGCATAGGGCCAAGAACTGCCCCCCTCTGCTTGTACGAGCATAGGGCCAAGAACTGCCCCCCTCTGCTTGTACAAGCATAGGGCCAAGAACTGCCCCCCTCTGCTTGTACGAGCATAGGGCCAAGAACTGCTTGGACAAGCATTCCCTGAGGATATTTGCTGTCATACTGATGAGTACCACTCATTCCATGATGCCTCAAGTCGCAGCTCATTCACTGGATGATGGGGGACCCCGCGTACATACGCCTTTCAAACATTCAACTCTCAAAACAACACACGCAAAAAAAATTACGCAAAATTGTAAAAAAAATGCGTATTCTGTGAATGGCGACTGGGAAATTAGAAATGGGATTCCATTTTAATGAGGAAACATTATTGTTTTAAGGAAATGTTTCCATATCATATAGTGTAGGGAACTATCAGGAGACAGCGCCAAGTCATTACAACTATATAGCACTTGGAAGGGGTCAGGATAAGGATTTGGGATGGGATGGGAGAAAGGAATGGTGCCCCAACCACTTGTGGACGGTCGGGAATTGAACGCCGACCTGCATGTAATGAACAAATGTGTGTGTTAGGTATTTTGCCATTTAATTGACCAATTATAATAACCATTGACCCCGTTCGTTCCCTCTGAGGATATTTTTGAGTTAGAGAAATTGTTTAAAAAATGCGACGTACATAGTTAACTATTAAAACACCGTAATATCGACGTTCTAAATGCATCGTTCTCCATAGGTTAAATAGGTTGCTTGATTTCGTAATGGGTTGCATAACCAACCAATTCATCTAACACGCTGCAAATCATTAATGCTAAATTATGATATTTTTATATACATGCTCATTTGTTTAAATTATCTGATTAAGAAGGACATGGAGTTCATACAATCTTTCAATTAGCTAATATGAGATGTAATATAAGGGGAGAAAAACTTGTTTGGTATTTCCCGTATGGAAATATAACCAGGGGGTAAAAATCTGAAGTAGAGTTCAGCTCGGATGAAAAGCCTTCAGTGGTAAATTACGCCAAGCATCTCCACCGTCATTGAGAGAGAGAGAGAGAGAGAGAGAGAGAGAGAGAGAGAGAGAGAGAGAGAGAGAGAGAGCAGGAGATTAAAGCACCACCAGGGGCTTTTCATAGATATTAAAAAATCTAATTTTATCCGCTTTCTATGATAATCCTGGGTGTCTGCGCTCTCTCTCTCTCTCTCTCTCTCTCTCTCTCTCTCTCTCTCTCTCTCTCTCTCTCTCTCTCTCTCTCTCTCTCTCTCTCTCTCTCTCTCTCTCTCTCTCTCTCTCTCTCTCTAGAAACGAGAAAGTGTAAATAGGTGTAAATTTAAAAAGTAAAAGTCACAAGTATTTAAAAGTAAATAAATTATTTACACCTACGTCGTGTGGGATCAATAAGTCTTCTGCAGTTACCTTCATTCATATGTATCTTACATCCCAGTATGCAGACCGCCAGCCACAATAGTGGGGCTGATCAATAGTCACCCAACACCCACACATCTGGAAATAAGAGAATTGACGGTTCAGTCCTTCCCTTCCCCCCCCCCCCCGATCATTATAGTTTTGTGTGATTTACGAATCTCTCAGGAGCCTGTTTGAGCCACTTCCCGGCGCATATATGTATTGATTTGTTTGATTTTAAGAGCCAGTAGTGATGATGAGATTAGATCTGTTTTTTTTTAGCTTTTCAGTTTTCACAATTTCAATTTTCTTCAGCATTCCTTCTGTGCTCCTTCCTTCTCTTCCTTCTTTCCTTCTTTCTTTCCCTTCCTTCTCTCCCCCCTTCCTTCTCTCCCCCTCTTCTCCCTCCCTCTTCTTCCTACCATTTCCTACTTTCTACATATCACTCTTAATTCCTCTCTACCCATCTTCCTCTTTAACTCCCTAACTCCTCCTTTACCCTCTTCACTCCGTTCCCCCCTCTCTCTCTCCCCTCCCCCGACGTCCCCCCCTCTAACCCCCTCTCCCCCCACGCCCCCCTCTACCCCTACCCCCCCCCCCCCTCTGCCCCATACCCCCGGTGGCCTCATTATAAACATGTTTTCTCCACTTTTTGTCCAACATGGCGTCTTCAGCTGAGAATAATTAGTCTTGCTTTGTGTCCTGTGTATTAGTCCAGGGGGGGGGGGGTGAGGGGGGGGGGGAGGGTGAGGGGGGGGGGGGGGGGAGGGGGGGGGGGGGTGAGGGGGGGAGGGTGAGGGGGGGGGAGGGGTGGGGGAGTATTAAGGCAGCGTTGGAGTGTGTCTTGGAGAGAGAGAGAGAGGTGTATAGGGTGTAACCGGCGTCTGGGTGTCCCAACCCGTTCTCGCAAATTCGTAAAGTCAATATTGACTTATTAACTACGTGCATAGGTGATATACTAAACATAATAGATACCCTTAAAAAGATTCATAGAAAACACCGACCTTACCTAACCTTGTTAGTATCTTAAGATAAGCATCTTATTGCTTCGTAATTACAATTATTACTTAACCTATACCTATTATAGGTTAGGTAATAATTGTAATTACGAAGCAATAAGATGCTTATCTTAACATAATAAGTAGGTTAGGTATGGTCGGTGTTTTCTATGAATCCTTTTAAGGGTATCTATTATGTT